AAAAAAGCCCAACTATTTTAAACCAACGTTATAATAATTTTGTCCTTTAAAATTTTCCAAAAAAAAGGGTAAAAAAGATTCCCAAGAAACCAAAAAAGGGGGGGGCCCAAGGATCCCAAACTAAACCGGGCGTTTGGTTTTTTTTTTTTTTTTCCCCCCCCCCCCTTTTTTCCCTTCGGGGGGAAAATTTGGGGGGCGTTCCCCGGGGTTTTCCGGGTGGACGGTTTCATTTTCGGGGGCCCTTGTTTTCCATTAGCAAAATTTTTTTTTTTAATTCCTCGGGCCCCCCCCCCCCCCCCGCTATAGCATGTCGCCCCTCCTGCCCACCAGAAACCCCTCATGCAGCAATCCATCGGTCTCCTTCCATGGCCAAGCTCGTGTGATTCCAACAAACACACACCACACCATATCTTCTATACATGAACCACGAACCCTCACCACAATGGACACGCCTGCCTCTCGTCCGTCAAGCTAGCCACTTTCCTCCCCCGGCGCTCTCCACCAAACCCAGCCGACAGGTGTGCCGACGAACGCGGCTCCACCCGGAAAGACCTGCTAGCGGTGCCTTTCGTTCCGGCGGCCCTCGCCCAGGCGCTAACCTGGTCAACAAGGGCGTCACGGCTGGCTGCGCTGCGGCACTCCACCCAAGCCAGCGCGCCAAGCACACCCCGCTTGTGAAGGATCAGGCCGCAGCTGGGGGCCTCCAAGTCGCTTCTTGCCCCGCATGCTCCCCACGGCTCGGTGGGCGCGAGGGGCACAGAGAGGTGGCTGAGGTCACAGGCGTTCAGCCCAACGTACCAGCTTCCCCTGGCGCTGGTAGTGAGGCCTTTCGTCCGGTGCCGAGTGACCGCTTCTGTGGGCAGCTCTAGGAGATACAGCCAACCGCGGACGAGGAGGAGCGCATGGCGACAGTGCTCCGCTCGGACCCACCTGAAGAAAGGGCACAAGGAGCGTTCGGTGCGTCGGTTTACGGCAGAGTCGAGATTGGAATTGAAGGTGCAAGCGTCAGAAAAAATCAAGGACTTCGTAAGAGCCAGAGAAAAGTAGATTGCAGCTGTTGTTTGTGGATTGCAGCTGTGCACCGTGGGTGACATGACGTAAGACACCACACCCCCTGGATCGATTTTCAAATATCGATTGCTCCACGACCAAGAGGATGCCGAATCAAAGGATACGTTTTCGGAAAGCTTAGGGTTAGACGGTTCCAACGCCGCCATTTTCGGCACGGTCACTGCTTTTCCTGCCGAGCAATCGAGCTTCGAAAACCGGTCCAGGGGGTGTGATATCTTACGCAACCTACGGTGCTTGACCACTTCATCGTCATCCAAATGATCTTCGTTATTTCTCAGGAAACAGTCATGTACACACGCCTAGTTATCGCACAACGGATACAACCTACCTGTGGTGACCGTTGAGCGACACGTACTCGGCCCAGAGGATGTCCTTGCCGGACCATGGCCACCCTCGACCCCTCGCACAGGCCAGGTAGCTAGAGAGAGCCACGATCTCCTCCTCCTCCTCTTCTCGGTCCAGGCGGGGCACCTCCCCACCGGACTGCTCGCTAAACGTGTCCTGTCGAGCGCTAACCGTTGCCGTAAGGAGCTCTGCTCCCGTTCCCGCCCCGCCCGCGGCGCGCACGCCCGCTAGGTCATGCTTATTTCCCTTCTCTGACGCCTCCGTCCTCCTGTCCCTTGCATCTACCCACCCATCGCCATCACCATCGCAATCGCCTTGCGCTTGGTCGTCATCGCTCGCAGTGTCAGGCGGGAAAAACGCCGAGGACGACGTCATGCTTGACCCCATCGGCGGCTGCCTCAGCAACGCTGAGCTCTCGTCGTCGTCATCATATTCCTTGTCGCCACCGCCCATGTGCAAAGCACAGCACCCTGCGGCCTCCCCGCCCCCTACAGTCCCCAACAGACGCTGTTCTCGGCACGGAATCTCCGGAGAAACCTCTCCCGGAGGGGAAGCCGTCGCTGGCGAGGGCGGGGCAGCGGCGGGGGAAGGAGGCATGCAGGTGGCATCCGTCTCGGTCTCCGTCTCCGGCACAACCGACCGGGGAGAGATGACCGGTACCCTAAGCGACATACGGCCGAAAGTGTTGTTGATCATGGAGCGAGTCCTCCTCATCATCCGGCTCGGCTTCCCCCCCGGCGTGCCTCCGCCCCAGGGGTTGAGCGACCCCGTCGCCCGCTTCTGGGAGGAGGCGTTCCTCGGAGTGGCCGAGGGAGAGGGAGAAGAAGAAAAAAAACCCGACGAAAGGCCATCTTTGGCCCTGTCCTTTCTCCCGCCGCCGCCGACGCTAGACCTCCGAGAGCTCTTCAGACGCCAGGACACGCCCCGAACGTCAGTCAGGAGGGGCGCCAACGCCCTAGGTGTCCTGATAGAGATGGAGCGACGCGGGGAGTACGGCCGGGTGGTAGGGGAGACGGTGCCCAGAGCTGCCGGCGACGGGGGGGTAGAAGGCGCTCGTGCTGTCGATCGGTTGGTCGAGGGCGGTGCGGTGTACTGGCCGTTGCTGCTGCCTGGCGAGCGCGGGCCCACGGCCGATGCTGACAATGCTGCCCCCCCAAGCTTTCTCGGCACGGTCCCGAGGCCGTGCTCCTGCTTGGCCTGAGAAGGGCTGTTGCTGCTGCTGTTGCTGTTGGTGCTGGTGTTGCTGTTGGTGCCGCCGCTGCTGAGGTTGCCGCTGAACATGCTGTCGATCTTGGCGGTGGCGGTGGTGGTGGTAATGACGTGGGCTATGGGCGATTTGAGCAGTCGTAGATCTCCGGAAGAAGGTAGCCGTCGCACGTCTCGGGCGTCCATGTCTGATGAAAGGATGTCTGAAAGGAGACCAGCTGGGCTCACGGTTGACTATGTAATGATTGGTATTGGTACGCACGTGCAGGCACAGAGACGGAGACATCGAACGAACGCAAGACCGGGTGGGATAAGAACACGTGGTCATCTCTCACTCATCACAACAAAAACAGCAGCAATCTTGTGCACGAGCCGTTGAAGGCATTGGTTTTGATTGGTCGATTATGTTTTGGGTTAGGGTTTCAGTTCAAGCCCCCTTGGCGATCGCGAAGCAACCCCGAAAAAACACGTGAAACGAGTCTTGCGCGCTACCCTAACTGCTAACCCTACCCTTCGATTTCCACCGCAATTTTGCACGAGGAGGTCAGAATGCAAACGGAATTTGTGGTCGACAGAATATTATAGTCTAGAGCCAAAGACTACATGTAGGTCAGTAAGCACGCCACACTGGAAATCGCGAGAGGAAAGTGGACTAACTGCACATGAGATATTTCTCTTCCACCGGTGCTCCCCCAATTCCCGACCACGCTGACACCCATGACACCACTTGAAGCGAGGGGCGCATGCTACAGCAGTAAAACTAAAAAAGGCGAAAGTACGGGCTGCGAGTACTACTTGCGGTGATCTTCGTGTTGGCGCCAACGTGTGCACCAGGAAACAGATGAACGGGATCTATCTATCTCTCGCACTGCTAGAAACAACCATATCGCCCACGGATGGTTCCGCCGTGTTTGACGCAACTGCTGGCTATTGTGACTGGTGGGGAACAACGTCGCGAGTCTACCAACTGCTGTACATATTACGACGCTTTTCACACTTGAACGAACCGCCGCCGCCCCAACATGTACAGCAGTAGTTCAATTTCAGAGTGCAATGAACAGCAATCGGACGCAGATTTTGTACAAAGTCTTGAAATCTTTCAGAGCGCCCGTTGTACCGATGTAAGTACCAAAATAGACGCACGGGACTTGCGTTCGGCACAACTAATATCCACATGCTGTTGGAACAATAAGCTAGCAGTTGCCAAATCATGGCGCAGAACACTTGCCGAAATCACATAAGGGTGCTTCTTATCGACCAATAAAACACGAAAAAAAAAACGAAACCGTTTTTTCTTGAACACATATGGAGGCGTTTTTGAACGAAAGCGTGAAAAGAAGGAGCCCGGTTTTTTTGGGGCTTGCTACTTAAACGAATTCGTGTTTTTGACAGAAGCATCGGACAAGCGCACCGCAGGCGCTGTAACATCACTGAGAACGCTAGAAAGACCTGCCAGACTCACGTCCAGGTCTGTTGTGGAGATGGACAAGCGGCAGAAGCGGCGTTCAGTCCGTTCTTGGTCCAAAACTAGACTTTGCGTGGTGCTCTCGTCTTCAACTGCTGCTGTTGGTGCTGGGGAATTTTTTTCGATCACACATAGCAAACACGGAAACAGTAGAACGAGTACAGCAGCACCACCAAGACCTCCAAAGCGCTGATTCCTTCGGTTCGGCTGTCTATATGATACCATCTCCCGGCGCCGTGCTGCTTCGTGGGTATTGAGTGCTTGGGTGCTGCTCAATAAGGTGTGTGAGAGACGTGTGCCACCTCACCAAAATGCCGTTGGAAAAATTGCGGCGAGATGATCTGTTTTTGGTCGGACACATCAACATCAATCCACGGCGTCACGCAGCAGTAGAGCAACAGGGCCTCCAACACGCTAATTCTTTCGGATTGGCCATCTATATGATGCTGGCCGTCAGCGCGGCTGCCGCCCTATGATTGTTGAGCTCGTCTACCTTTGGGTAGGTGGTGGTCAAAGATGGGAGTCGCAACCGTGAAAAATGAGCTGGCAAACTGAAGAAATCGCAAGCAACACCCAGGTTGCGACACTCTGCCGTGCGCCTGTTGTTGCTAAAAACTGAAAACAGCAGGCCGGGTGGACGGGATCTTTCTAAGTGTGTTGTCCTCTGTGCGGGGTGCTGCTTATTGCGCTTTTATCGCTGCTCTATGGTGAGCAATACCATGTCAACCTGTTGTGTGCCGAGCAAAGCGTGTATTCAGGGAAGGAAACGTGCTTTTTTTGATGACATCACGAAAAGAACAAGCAAAAAAAAGTCGGGTTTTCTTTCAACCGTTCCGTTTAAAAAAGAACGATTTCGACGTTGCGTTAACAATAACCCTAACCTGGCAGTATGTGCACAAGGTTAAGGTTCAACGACGCACACGAGCACGAAGAGTGGGTGGGGAATTTGGGGGCTCCTTTCTATGTACGTTGCGTGAACCAGAAGCCTCTGCCGGCTTTTTGGCTTCCCGATCGAGCGTAAGCGCTAATTGTAGGTTGCGAGACTGGGCTACTCGGCGGTTACTCGGTCTGGCCGTAACGCCAACACGCAGCGGTCATGGACAGTGGATAGTCACGAATGAAGACCAGCGCGAGATTAATGTCTACATCACTCGTTGCCCGTCGAGGTGCGGAAGTTCAATTAAGCTTTCATGTTTGATGGGGAATGGGGAAACGCGGGATCTATAGTCTACATACATGTAGCACCGCCGATCCCCGCTGCTGCCGCCAGTGAGGTATTTGTCCACAACGAAAGATCTACATACTGTATGAAATCGAGAAGGAGCAAGAGAGCAACCAAAGCGGCGATATTGTACGCCTGCCTGCTGAAGGTGACATCAGAGTAGCTAGCAACACTAGCCTGTGTGAAGGAGACGATGTAAGGGTATGAGGGAATGTGCTCACATCTAGTATGCATACATAGCGGGAACCGATTCCGCATCACACACAACACGCATGTAGACTACTGGTTGTGGTATGTACAATTAATTGCATCTATCTGCCTCTGTCGTCAGGCGGTCGTCCGTGTCTTTCAAAATTCAACACAGCACGTGTTCCAAGCTTGGATCGAATTGTTGGTGCAATGCGAAGTTCAACTTTAATTTGACTTGAAAGCGTAATGGCCCCGTTCATGTTCCGTGGGTTAGGAGGGGGCATATCCCATGTATGTCCTTTACACGGTGGCTTGGTCGAAGAAGAGCTCATCATGTCCGGCCGGTGTGTGTGGGCATCAGCTACACAGCAGTATTATTGCGCGAAACAAACTATTTCATCACAAGCTCAACAACCTTCCGAACTGGAGGAGTGCGGTGTTCGAACTTGTGGAGGGAGTGTGGTGGCACAAAAATGCATTGCATATCTTTGATAGGTCACGTTCACCAACAATGCGGGCAACGTGGGGGGAATTATCCGTAGCTGCATGTCCTGTAACATTGCCGCAACAACGCAGCTAGCTAACAAGGTTGGGTAGAACATATGCATACAACACATGGGGGGGAGGTGAGGACCCTGACATTTTTGGAAAATCTTGAAAATCTTGCTCACCGATGATGCTGCTCGCCGCTCTTCGTGCTGGAGTTGGAAATTAGAACAAACCCCGTGCTGCTTCTCTTTGATGCGAGCTCCTCTCGCCGCACCACCGGTGGATGACAAAAACCCGCCCTTCCCCACCACTACCGCCATCTGCCCTGTCTCTTGCTCATGAGCACCGGTGCGTGCCCGCGATTCCCGAGATGCTGCTGATGTGTGTGTGTTTGATGATGGTGGTGATCTTCCGCTTTCGGCGCACGGAGCAGCTTCTACAGCAGGCGCCAAGGATTTCCGCGAAGCTACCCCGGCTGCAGTCCAGCTGTCGTCACAAGAAGCCGTCCTGTGACGGAAGCCCATTCGTAACCCCATCATAGAGAAGGGTCTTCTGTGGCTGCTACCCTCATCTGTCGGCATCGCCACTGACCGGCTTGCCAGCTGCGGAGCCAAAACTCGATCAACCCCTACCTCCCTGAAACCTGCCTGACAAGAAGAGACCGTCCACGCCCCAGTTGGAGGACTGGAGGGCGCGACGCTCGTGCAGCAGTCTAGCTTTTCCCCAACGAGATGAGAGAGGGAGAGCGCGAGAGAGAGCGAAAGGAAGGGTATGACTTGGATGATGATGACTCCTACTCTCACGTCGGCATGGACTGCTGAAACTGCTGCGGTATGTAAAGATGTGAAGGAACAACCCAGCTCTGTCTCACACCCGTGTCAAGGCCAGCCAGCAAAGAATTTCAGAACCCCAAAAAAAAAAAAAGAGTGCGACCTCGTTTGTATGATGTGTTTTTAGGAAGCAGTTGCACAAGGTCCAACAACTCTCCGTCACGTTCGTTCGGAGCAGTGCTGCGGCTTTCCGTTGTCGAACAGCTTTCCCTCCGACACAGCAGCAGTTCCCACCAAAAGCTCACAACACATGCATAGATAGCGCGCGTACCTGTTCAACGTGATCCCTGACCAGGCTGGGTCGAAGTTGTTTGCTCCGCAAGTCAAAGTCAGTCAGTCAGTCAGTCAGTATTTTCTTCTTGCGTGCTCGCTCCCGCCGTGACTGCAAAATGTGATGTGTGTCTGCTTCTTGCCGCAGGTCCTCGCTCTGCCTCACACGTACCTCAACCCTCAATAGCTCAACAGGATGCAACGTGAAAAATACCCAACGGCCGGGGTAGGTGTAGCCAGGTAGACCGGGGGGGGGATGATATGTGGGATGGAGCGAAGAGAGACTTTTATTGTTGGTGAAGCGGAAGCGGAAGATGCGTGGGAGCCAGACGGGGCGGCGCCTCTTTTATCGCTCCTTTTTTTTTTTTTCTTAATATGACACCACGAAACCATCTTTTTTTCTGGGTACCTTGCTGAACATGCACAAGATCTACGAGGTCTACAGGTTGTAATTTGTAATGAAGACAACAAACAGATGGTGTATGCACACGTGATGCTTACTTACCAACGTTTTGATACAACCAACGTTCGATTCTCGGACAAAATCTCGGCCAAACCCAAAGAGTGCAAGAAAGAAGAACAGTGCCCAACCTTTGCTTCACCCGTTGGCATTCCTACAACTACCATGTCTGCCTGCATGTGCGTAGTACCCTACTCCGCTGTTTATTCTCGCGGATAGTATCGAAACGCCGCGCTGCGTGCCAGTAATTTTACCCAAACGTGCGAGTATCCAGAACACGAAAGATGGAGCCTCTTGCATCCTTCCATCCACCTCTTCTCGCGTTGGAAACATGAAGCAAATTTTTGAAGCAAGCACCACACAGGGGAACGTTGGACGGAAAAAAATCCTGTGACAGCTTGTGACAGACAACAGTAAGTAACCATTCTGTATGACCTCGGCTGTTTTTCTGCTGTTGTAGTGTGTGTCGACCGCGCAAACCGGCTGGTCACTCAACGGAAAGAAAGGCGTCATCAATAATTATTTCACGATCGGGTTGCCCGGGGGGCGGAGGAAATTGGATGCGGCAGATAGGGTTGAGTGGTTATTATGTTATTATGTAGTCTCCGGATCCAAAGCATGACAAACAGCAGCTGTATGGTAGATTAGTGACAGTCACTGCAGAAAAAAGAAAAAAAAAGGAAAACACCCAACACACCCAACCGCATACATACACCATACATTCGTGCAGCGTTATCTACAACTCCTCTTCTGTCTGTCGTGGTCACTCCTCTAACCATTTGACTGCTTCTCTCTTTGGGCCGCTACAAAAATAGCTTTCACGTATCCCTTCCTCTGCTTCTCTCTCTCTCTCTCTCTCTCTCTCTCTCTCTCTCTCTCTCTCTCTCTCTCTCTCCTTTTCTTCTGGACGTACGTCCGTGTTGATAGCTTTCGCAACATGCACTTACCATGTATGTATCTGTTGGTTTGGACGCCTCAGCCTGGGCAACACGGCAGGAATGAATGCCACGAGTTTTCTCTCTCGACTTTGGTATTCATACAGCTGTACAATTCTTCCCTTGATGCCCATCGCGAGGATGGTCCAGCCCCTTAGGAGTGCGTCGAAAATAACATGCAAACGACCAGACAGCTACAGTGGGTGCAGTGGGTGTAGGCTGAGAAGCTATTCGGCGCCGGAGATGGGGCGAAAAACAAAACAAACAAAAAAGTTGAAAAAACATATTATTCCCCCTTACCAGTGACGACCTTTCCGGGATCGACGAACTGCACACAACTGGTGCATCTACACGCTACCTGGTAGTCAACAGATGCCCCAAATCCCCGCAACCTACCGGACTACATAGACTAAAGCATCGCAAAAGGGTTCACGATCGACGGCTGACACACCACATGGGCAATGCCCTCCTGGCCGCGGTGTGGCGTGACAAGGGCGATATTGGGTACCACCACTAGATCGCCTTACCAAAGTAAGCCAAACGAGTTTGATACAGTATTTACAGCAGCTCTGCCGCGGGTTTTCTCGACAGGGCAGTGTGTGCAACAGCATCCCAGGGTCGGCGGACACCGTTTACCTGAACTCTAAGAAACTAAGAAATGCAACGAATACAAATCCCGAAATAGCGGAAACGGAAGCTGGTCCTCTGATTGGCCTAAATATAGGTGCAACAGCTGCGCGTCTGGAGACACATGTGTGTGGACTCCCGTCAAGGCAGCAACCACAAGCCAGGTAAGCGTGCGGTAGAGCAATCGCAAAACAAAAGACTCCCACCAACCATGCCAGGCGAAAGAGAGAGAGAGAGAGGTCGTCACCAAGGCAACACAAGTGGCGGGCTTCCGCATCGTGCTCATGACTGCTCTTCCCCCTCCACGATCTTGGCACTTAACACGCAAGGGCAGCCTTACACGACGCAAATCCTAATCCTATCGGTGGTCTTCGTTTGCAGGAGCCGTGGCCGGTTCGATCGCCCCGCCCCCTTCCTCCCCCGCTTCCGCGCTTGTTGTGTTGGCTGCTGCAAGGTTAGCGAGCGCGCTAGGATGTCCCCAGTCCGCCTCGAATGGAGCGGCTTCACGTCCGTCAAAAGAAAATGGTATTGTTGATGGCGACAGCGGGGGAATGTAGGCAATTGATAAGGGAGATTAACGCCGACAACGATAGTGCCCACCACCGTTCTAGCACAGGGGACAAAAGGAATAACGAGGAGGGAGGCTACACAGCAGAGTTGCAACGCACGGCTGAACTGGGGATCACACTAGATAGACAGGCAGCGCAACAGAGCAAAATGATAGGGGTGGGCACCAGTGCACCAAGTATCTCGCTAAAGCACAGCACGAGACCTTTATAGACTATCGACCACAACGAAGGAGTCACGTCTGCCATCTGACTGTAGCTTATTGTCGAACATTTCGACTATCTGCAAGACTCCCACCGAACAATAACTTACGTGGAAGAGAAGGGGCAGCGAGGGTGAAGCCTTGCATCGCTCGGATCACTCGCTCTGCTCGATCTGGACGCCACACGCCAAAGGAACAAAATCACAGTCCCGCACACAGACACATACATTGACACGGCAAGACATGAAGGGATGGATGGGTGTGGGAAAGTTTGCGTATCACGCCATGCCAGTCTCGGAAAACAATTTGCAAGGTGACCATGTAGCGATAATGGCGCTGCCTTTATGGCTGCGGCAGCGCGTTGATGAATTCTCGCTACTTTCTTTCGTTGAACAACGCCGAAGAGACAACAGGTCTGGGACTGGATCAAGTGACCTCAAAATGACGGATCAAACAGGTATGGATATCACCACAGCATCCTGGGCGTGACATATTGCACGTACAGAGTATTCGTGTGTCCCACAAGCGTGGTATGACAAGTTGGTCGGCTCTCCACCATGGTTTGCAACGATCAACCACATGTCGCACAGAAGCAGCAGCAGCAGCAGCAGCAGGCCACATTGACTACGACGAGCGATGTGGTTGGTGTTGAGCGATATGTTTGGTGACAAAACCACCTACGCAAGCGGTAGCATTCCTCCCCTCTCGCCTGTACTTGTACCAAGAGAAAATCTGGGATCGAAAAGGGATGATGATGTCAATCATTGGTTCACCTTGGCCAAGAGGTGAGACAGGTCTCATTGTTGCTGGTGCTGGTGCTGGTGGAGGTGCTTCCACCTCAGCGTCGGCTTCGCCTCCACCCCTGATACCCAACGCCAATCCCTGCCCTTGACCCGGTGTCAAAGTTCCATTACCCTCCAGCTGCTGTGCAGGCTCTTCGCTTGGGGGTTTCCTCGTTTCTGTCGCAGCGGTTGCAGCGGCGATCGGGCCATTGCTCACTACGTGCCCCTGTGACAAGCGAGCAGGCGATGCGTCGAACGAGACAAAATCATAAGTTTGGGAAGCATGGGCGGAGGATGGGAGAAAACACTCCAGCCCCGAAGGAACACAGCCCATTGTACTCTGGCGCGATACATGGTAACATGGGCAAGACTACAGGACAAATGCACCCTCTTCACGAGAGCGCAAATATTACAGCATCCCGGAATCCGTAATCGAAAAGTTTAATTGTTTGTGGCCGCAATCATCCTCGGCTCTTTGGGACAGCATGTCCCTCACCTCACCTCGCTTTCAACGCATGCTCGATAGTCTTCTTCCATCGCCCTTAGCAAAACAGACGCCATCTGCGGAGACCGGTGATGGGGTGGGTACACAGGGTTAGGACCCTTGTTTGCGGTGTGGTGCTTATGCGGCAATCCCACCTCTTGCTTCGGCCTTTGTCTCCCTCTCGCAACCGTATACACAACTGAAATACGTCTCACTTGGTAAGTTCGCGGTACAGTCGAACCAGTAGCGCATCAATTATTTATGTTGCTAGCTCGCGCGGCACGAGAAAGAGGCACATCGTTGTTTGGCGTTTGGTGCGACACAACAATGGCTCGTTGCATCTGTTGGTTGGGCGTGGCTGGTTGCGGTACTGTGTCAGGTTCACCACCTCGGAGATCGGCGTATCGAACACACTCGAGGGGCCCTCACTAAGGACGACGAGTGAAGATGATATTGGAAGCGGAGGGCGCGTTTCAGAGACCCAACGTTCGCACGACCATGGTGACGAGAGGATATTGAGGCTCGATACCCCAAGCTCGGAGCTGGTGAACCTGACACAGTACCGTCACCAGCCAAAGAACTAGGAGCCTGGCGATGTTGTGGTGAACGACGACAGCAGGGGCAGTTTACCCGCGCCAGAGGGCCAAGATACCCAGCCCCCCAGAAGCAGCGGTGGGGTTTCCCTCCTGCTCCACGTCAGAAGCATGAGAGGAGGGATGGACCGGTAGAACCGGAGCGAATCCTGAGGTCCCAGCCAGAGTGGGCCCGGACGTAGCACTTGGTCGCGGGGAAGCGAGGGGGTCATACCCCCCAAGGTGAAACATTTCCCGCACATCAACAGAAAGGGGGCATATCTTGATGGGTTGTACCATCCGCAACAGAAACCAGTGGCTTTAGCGTCCCGCGCCCAGAACGGGAGAGCCGTAGCCACGAGTAGCACTCTTGGAAAACAGCACTCGTCCAATGCTTGAAAAAAAACGCCGTGGACCTGGACGTGAAACAACAGGCGAGTGTAACAATGCCGTTGGTCGAGGGCGTGTAGAGCAGGCCAGGCAGGGGGGATTTGTACCTGACACCGGGTACCTCTCACATGTTTCCCGAACGGCGATGCGCTCGTCGATTACCAGGAGTGCGACTCGTAGACGTGTGTTTGTTACCGTCGGGGAATCCTGTCCCGTCGTAGGGTAGGGAAGGGAAGGGCAACGTGAAGGTGACCCTCGGCTCGCGCAAAGGGCTCGCACTCCCGGTTGATGGTATTGGGGGAACCTGTGTATGTATCCATGTATCCATGTGAGAGGTACTGTAGGGCCGGTGCCAGCTACATTCCTCTCTTGCCTGGCCTGCTCTACACAACTACTGCTGTAAATTCTGATATCCCTCACGACCCTATTATACCAGTAGTCCCCGAGTGAAGAACAGCCATGGACAAGAAGAGGTTGGAGCTGAGCCTTGAGGGTGGGGATTGTGTAAATTCCACGCTGCGGCCAACTGTACGATCAGACTGGTTACCGCACACAACTCATTTTTAGGTAGGGATCATGCCTCTGCCATCAATGTCCTCTGCCTTGACGTCCGGCCGTTTTCATCCTCCATCAAGAGGGATGCTTCCTTTCGTCTGTAAAATGTTTTTAGGGGTTTTGCCCAGGCGCCGGATTCCCCTCCAGTAACGTCTTGATGTTTTTGATGTACCAGGGGTTAATGTACCCCACTGATGGTTGTCACTCCCATGAAGAACCAGGGAGGGTGTTCGTGGGTTCGTGAACTTGGGTGCATACGTCTACCTGGCGGTCTTGTGTCACACAGATCTTGGGGATTGCTGGGCAACAGCTCGTTCACTTTTCATGCCACGGCATTTGCCAGGTTAAGAGCGAAGGGCGATGTCTGCGGGTGTAGAACTAACATGCTTGAGGTGCCCTGCTGGGTTCACGTATGTATAGCTATCTGTGTGGAGAACACCAGCGGTCACAGACGTGTTGACCAGATGCTACTATTAGCAGAAGTACGAAGTAAAGCAAAAAATCTGGCGGGGGTGCACGAAGGGTACCACGGAGATGCACGGAGCCCCTTTCACAATGTCATTTGCTTTGTGCGTGGGCGGTGTTAGGAGTTTAGATTGGGCCGCCTTTTTTTTTGCACCGGGTATCGATCTCGCGAACGCTGTAGGCCACCGTTTGGAGTACTGTAATGAAAGCCGGGATGAGTAGCTGTGATGCGCAGCTATCGTTTGGTGTGAAGAACGTGTGGATGCTGGCTGCGTGCGACTTCTCTGGTCCAAAAGTGTAGTTTTTTTGAGAGAGCATGATGCGAAAAGAGAGAATCAGGCGTCCCTCTACAGCGGGGATACCTCCTACGCAACCCCCCCCCACAACCACCGGTCAGAGCAGACCTTCCACAACGCGTGCCTGTACATACACCCCAGTGGTATGTACTAGAGGTGGTTTCACGTCGCCTTTTGTCGATGCGGGTGTGTTATAGCGCCCAGTCGGCCGACCTACCCCAGAGCTTCAACCGATCCAATCCCTGTGTACTTGACGGCGTGGCCGTATTGGGGAGGCCGGTTTGGACTGAGAAGTGCTGGCGATACAAGAAGCCAAGGTTGTGGGCTTTCTAGAGCACCCGCCAGAACTCCCGATGGAGGTCTGTGGATGGAGAAACTCAGAGAATTGCCCATCGCGGGTTCATCTGACACAGAGAGTGTGGGCCTGTTGCGGTGTCGCGTGGTGGCGGGATATTTGAACTTCTTCTACGTAGAATCTCACGTGCTTTACTTTCCATGCCAAATTTGGCGACACAGATCTCTATTGGGGAGGGTCGAATCGCGACCCCTCAAGTGGATGACATGCTTTGGTATCACCAATAAGTAACAGCCGTCATGTCTCTTCCTTCGTTGGCCCTGCTCTGTGGCGAGGTGCCCGGTCTCTTTCCGCGCAAGGGTGTCCTCCGTTGTAAACTCCAGTCATTTTATGGAAAACTGTCAGGCGTTGCTAAATTTGGGTTGCACTCTGCTGTACCGGGCCACAAAAAAATGCGGCGCAATCTAAACTCCTAACACTGGTGGGAACTGCTTGCTTTGACCTTTGTCTCCCTCGCGCGACGATAACACGTGACTGAAACATGTCTCACTTCGTAAATACGCGGTAAGCAGCTGCAATCAGCAGACGCCGCAGGATTCTAACTACAGCCGTGTATGCATCCGCCCGGCCCGCAGCTGCTACAGCGGCTTATCGTAGACTATGAACTACAATGTACGAATCGTAGACTATGACCTACAACGTACATATATACATGCAGTAGACGTACTTTGCAACGTTAGCCGCAAACACTCGCATCATGGATTCCTCGTCTCCTCTCTCACGTCCGGTTGTAGAGAGGTGTCAACGTCCACAACACCTGCTGGCCAGCCCTCTCCCCCGACGCTCTCGGTTCGCTGCTCTTCCGTTCCCTCATTATCCTCATCGTCCTCCTCCTCATCACCTTCCTCGCCGAGAGGTTGATATTGATCTAGAGCTGCATAGCCCGTGTGCTCCGGAGAGCCTTCCGTTTCGTCACTCCAGTGCTCTCCATCAGTCGTTGGCGTACTCGGACTCTTCGTGTCCATTGGTGAGTCCACACTGCCGGAGAAGACAACCTGCGGTGTGGGTCTGGTGGTCTGGTGTGCAGGACATTATGGGCGCGAGATCTTGAAAAAAAAACATTTGGGGGGGGGGGGGGGGGGGAGCAGGTGCAACGAGTAGGACTGCCAAGCAAGCTGTGTTGTGATTCAGGGCACAGCGCAGTAAACCATGGCTTCCTTGTTGATGCTGGCGACAGCAGTGCTGCTGACGTTGGTGGGCCCTGGTGCTGCTTTTATCATTTCCCCGGTGAGCTTTGTTGAGATAAGGCTCTTTGTTGCCCTGGTACCATCGAGCACTTTGGCCGCCCCTTCCGCTGCCTGCACAACTCAGCGTTAGAGTCGTTCAGCACGTTATGCAACAGGGTGAATACAGAGCAGAGACATACAGCCGTACGTCTAGTACATTGATACAAAGAGACCCCCCGCCGCAGAGAGTGGTGAAGAGACAGCACCACGCCGGGTAGGTTTGCCGAGCGACAGACTTCCTTAGATTGCAGTAAGGCTGGTGCGCTCGGCATGACGATACACGTGTCTGCGTGTATCATCTGTTGGACTGTTGGTCAACAGTCAACAAACAGAACTTCGTCGTTAACTGCACGTGTGTTGTATCTTCTCGAACTATGCATACTTGTACTGCTGTCAACCGTACAAGTATGCTAGGTGACATGAGATACCACCCGAAGTGATAACATTCATTGTGGGATACCTTCCACGATTTTTCCTGTGTAGGGTGTGGTGAATGTTACCGGTGTGATGGAGTACCGTCACAGCTCATAGAACCTCCCAACTACAACTAGATAGGGGTTCGATCACTGCAGTTGTTATCACATGTGGAGTACGCTCACGAGCTGACACCAAAAGGGGGATATCCACTTTTACTTTATGAAGGCACATGCCGCTTGATGGCGTGATTTACTACCGCAGTGCTTTACGTTCTTGCACTACAACCCTCTTGCAGAAATTTAACTCTCTTGCAGAAATTTGTAACATCAGCAGCATTACGTGTGGTGTGGTGCCATGCACGACTGCTGGGGGAGATTCAGTATAGGGGTGACACTTGACAGTACCTGCCACACTGGTGGATGCTGCTATTGCGCTGCACGTTGTACAGCAGTGTACAGAACAAATGACGTAATTGAGCGTAGGGTGGCCGCCGGAGTCGGACCCACTGCAGTGTGATCCGCGGCGCTTTTAGCAAGCATGTGTAGCGGTATTGTCGGCCGCCATTGCTGTGGCACGGAGGCTGTTCGCGCTTGTGTGTATGCTGCTTTATCACGCCGTGACCGTGTCATAAGCGGAGGGGGGGTCCGTGAACAACATGCGGCTCAACTTTGGGGTAGGGGTATCTTATGTTACCAACGGTGTGCTCCCCGCAGGTATCCAGCACCAGAGCACTTCAACGGAGGTTGTCGTCGCCTACAGGCATCCGAAACCGTGATGCAAGTCAGAGGGATAGCAGCAACACCAACTGTGCCACCAGCAGAAGAGGGAGGACGGCGATGCAAGCGGCAGCTCGTCTTGTGACGGGGGAAGAGCTAGAGGTGGAGCTGACCGAGTGGGAGCTTCCGATGATCCTCGACGTCTTCGCTACTTGGTGCGGGCCGTGCATCCAGCTCAAACCAGAGATCGAGAAGGTATGTTGTGTTATCGTAGGATGAAAACAGCAGTCAGTGGTGTGATGAACAGAGGAATTGGAATTGCATCAAGTACAGAATCTCGCCGGAAAATGTGTGTCACAACCGACGGCAAGGAGATTTTCCGCGGGCTCACCGGTATGCGCTAACCGATAACCGTTTGCCTGGGTAAACTGCCCCCTCCCTGCCCAATGCCGCGAGATAGGCGCTAGAGGTGGAAGATACACAACGTATTTTATTATTTCGTGTGTCTAACGACTTGTTTGTTAACGACGTTTTTCGACGCATCTGACGACAGTTGTCTCAAGCGCTCGAGGGAAAGTGCCGTGTGTTGAAGCTGGACAGCGACGAGGAGGAAGATATGGCGGGTGCGCTCAATGTGAGTCTCCACCGCAATTGTACATCGCCGTGCGCGCGCATGATCTGACGCCGCTCGATCACGCGCCGAGATTTATGTAGATATGGTACAGATTTGGCCGGTTTGTTCGTGTTTGCGTCTGAGTGTGGCGTACCCGGTTACTGTCAGCCTCTTTTTTCTCAGCCTTGGCCGACTTAACCACTACCGCTCTCCAATTATTCCGAAGATTCTTTGGCGAGAGGGACATCTCTCCCCACGAGAGGGACATCTCTCCCCAGAGAGACAGGATTTTCGGGAATCCAACTTTTCCGCGGTGCTTTGCAAAGCGCTGCCCTGATATGAGCATCCGGTTTTATGTTTTCATCGAAAGCCCTGTGTGCAGAGAGCCTGCCAAACGCCCACGAGTGAGAGGGCTCGCACGGCCCCGAGCAGCCTTGATACGTGGAATAACACCACCGTCAGTTACTGGCACATCTGTGATAATATGTAATTGTGGTTGTGTGCTTGTCGTCTCTGTCGACAAACATTGCCGCCGGCATGAACTTTCCTGGCTTCCGCAATGCTCAAGTGGGCTGTGGTGGGAATTTATGGCACATGTTCCGTTTGGGGGGGCTTTTTTTCGTTTAGTTTACGCCACAAACTGCTCCGCTGTAGTAGCGATTGCCTCAAGACCCGTGAATGCGCCAAGACGCAGCGGTACTGTAATGGTAACTACGGTCTTCGCGCAACGCAACTGATGTGCGGGGGCTACCGTAGTTAACTTGGCTTCCCCCTTCTACCCCCTGTCGGAAGTTCCATCCCCAACAAGTCTTGAACTTTTACTCCCATCGCAATACGTTCGCCATTTCCCCGCGTCCACCGTCCCCCAGATCTACGGCCTCCCCACCGTGATCTACATGAAGGATGGGAAGATCCAGCACCGAACAGAGGGATTCCTCCCGGCGGAGGAGATGCTGCAACTGGCGGACATCCACCTTTTCGGGAAGCCGCCTCCCGAGGTGACCGACCCTGCCGATGATTTGTTCATCGATGCGGATGCTTGCAAACCGCCTGCTGCCGCCGCCGGCGATGCTCCGTCAGCGTGTACTCCGCCGCCGCCAACTGACACCTGCCCCAGCCCCTCGGCTGATGCTTCGTCTTCGGCTAGCGAGCCATGAGCTGTTCGATCGTTGTCGTAGGCCGGACGGGTTCTTGCTATCTGTCAGGATTTTGCAGCACGGTACCGCTGTAGCACACCGATTGTGGTGCGTTCATTTGCGTACACATGCGTACGTAGAGTGGAGTCTGGACGTCTGGCCAGGGTTTAATTTTGTGCATGTCCCGTGCAACTTGGCGGGTTTGCAAGGATAGGTTCTTGTTTGTGTCGTAGAGTAATGGACGTCGCGGTTGATACAGGGTCGTAACCTTTTACAGTGGTGACTGTCGTCATGTGGTGCGCTTTTTCGGAGATCAACATCATTAAAATTTGTACATCCAATCCTGATCACATCGTACGTGCCGTTGCACGCATGGTCGTCAAGCCGACCATCTCCGCACGTCGAGAATGGCTGAACGGTGGCTGAAGGGAATGGCCGGGAATAGATGCATGCAACGCGTTTGGGCACGCTGTGTTGTGTATTTGCTGCGCATGCGAACTTGAAAGAGGGCCGGTCTCCACCGTCGCTCGCAGATGACCCTCTGCTTGACATCCATGATGTGGCAACATACTTGTAGTCGTGAGTACACACAACAATTAGGAAGGGATAAATGAAATCTCGCCGCAATAGCAACTTAATAAGACTTCACCACTTCACCACAGGAGGAAATGTGAATAATCCCTCCTGCGCGACCTGGCGTGTCAAACAAATAACGAAAGGTGTACTGTAGTTGGGGGGCACCCGGAATGGATGGGACGAGCTGAAAATAGAAAAATGTTCTCTCAGCGACCGGAGCGCCATTGCCAATCAGCGTCACTCACTGGTGGTCGTGCGTGGATCCTCCGTGTGCTACGCTTCGGAGAGATTTCGACATATACTTCAAGCCCCGTGATGAACGTATCTACCTGGTCGTCCGTTTTGGACACATTGTAATAAGCTAGTGAGTGCGTGTCTGTCGCTCAGTCTGGCGACGTTGTCGTTATCGTTATCTCCAGACGATGAACGAAGAGAGAGCGAACACCTCGGGCATTACACGCCGCTAGGTTGAACGCTTTCCCGAACGTCGCTCAAGACGAAGGATGGTCAGCCAACGGCCCGAACGCATGAGACTACTGTGTAACGGTGGACGCTGCTCGAAGCGTTTCTTCGGGAAGGCAGGGTTAGGGTTACCCCAGCCACAAGCTTCCATCCGTCCACTTCAATTCCCTTGTTACGTTGAATATATGAATACATGACGTGGCTTTCTGTTGAGCTGTCAACTACCCCCAATGTCCAAAATCACTCTCATCCCTCACTATAGACTCGACCGGTGAAACGCAATGAACGACGAATTCGGAAAGCAGGGCAGACATGTTGCCGCACACACATGCATACACGTTTATTTTTGTGCTCCACGGCGATGGCTACTCTAGCGTACAGAGAGGCCCACCCGGATCGTAACAAGTGACGTACCACGCAAATCAGAACAAAGAATATGCTATAATAGCGCTTCCATTGCCGGCCCTCTCACAAGAAACATTCAAAACGAATCGGGGCTCAGTTACGCCATTCAAGAAATATAGACTAGTACAGACCACCACATGGGTAACGCAGGAAATTGGCCTCAAACCACCGATACTATGCATAAGTACACTGAACCCTAATAAAAGTTTCGCTCAGCACTAGACTGTGCTCAATCGTTGAGACACTTGCACGGCTTTGATGCCTTGCCAGCTTGCTCAAAACTTTTCTCGTACGGTTGTACAGAGTGCGAAATATACCAAACGTCCAACACCTACAGTAGTGGGTATTCACAAGTCGCATACACAATCGAACGACACTGGCATTACTCTAGACTATAGCTCGTCATCCCCAAAGTCGTAGTCATAGTCATCGCCGCCCCCTCCTCCTCCGGTGGAATCCTGGCTGTAGAGTCGCGACATGATCGGGTTGGCGATCTGCTCGATGTCTTTCATGCGCGATTGGAATTGCTCCGTCTCGGCATTCGGAGTTTCGTCCAGCCAGTCAAGAGCTTCGTTGATGGTGGATTCAAGTTCCTGGTGAAAACGTTGTGTCAAAGGAGGGGAGAGGGGGGGCGGCGGCGGCGGCATGGTCAAAGGAGTGCACTTGGAAGAGAGACTGGGGAGCGTGGAGGGGGGGGGTCATTCGTCATTATCTATTTGCCGCCGCAGACCGGCCATATGCACGGTCTATGTTCAATGGGACATGACCAACAACTGATGGAGAAGAGCGGCTACGCGAACGCGCTTGAACAGCTACAAGACATGCTTACACATCAGATAAAATCAAATTAGGCGAGAATATTTGCTACACGTCGTTCAGTTGTGATCTTGTGTCCCGTTGGAATTAACCGCTGGCAATACCAAGCATACCAAGCAACAACAACACGATACATGACGAAATGCATCGGGGCCCTTGACAAGACGAAGAACACAGACAGGAGTCCATGTGTTCTTCTGGTAACTCCTGACAATAAGAAAACTACAGTATATCATAACCCATTATCTTCGCGGATGGACTGCTCGATCTTTGACAGAGCTTCAGTACAAAGCGAGCGCTCACCTCCCTGTCCGCGTCGCTGATTTTGCTGGCAACCCCTCCGCCATCATCTTCCAGAAGATTTTTCAAGTTGTACAGATAGCCCTCGAGCGAGTTCTTAGCGTCGGTACGCTCCTTGATCAGCCTGTCGTCCTCACGGTAGTCCTCGGCATCTTGCACCATCCTCTCGATCTCCTCCGGCGAGAGACGCCCCTGGGATACAACAAGACACAAAGATGAGCAGCCACACACAAAGCACACATCGGGAGGGGACCCTAGGCTCGACTTCGGGGATGACGGCATACCCCTTGGTGGAAACGTTAACGTTACGTGGCCGAAAAGTTAGGCACACTCCCGATTCATCTCCCATCCTTCTGCCACAAAACGAGCACATGAGAAAGATGGCAACAAAACAAACTTTTTAATTCATTGCTCACTTCTAACTCCAAGTCAACCCCCACCAACCTGCTAAGGGTAGAAAAGAATGACGAATGAGATGGTACAAAAGCGTATGGGACTTCTGTGGGGTTTTCGAGTGTAAACCACACACCGACTATTTATTTCTGCCAAATTCGTAGAAGTCGTTCTCTACCCTTTGTTTTGTTGCTGTGTACTGTACTCACCGTGTCGCCGGTGACGACGATCTTCTCGCTGCGGCCGCTGCCGGTGTCCCTTGCCGAGACCTGCAAGATGCCGTTCACGTCGACTTCGAAGGTCACCTCGATCTGAGGCACTCCGCGTGGCGCCGGCGGCAATCCTGTCAGCTCGAACTTCCCTGCACATTTGTTTTTAAGACCCCATAGGTTTCGATTGTTTGAGAGGCGTTCGAGGGACGTGCGTATACGGGTGATGCGAGGGAGAGTGTTGAAGAAAGGGTGCAGAACTCGTCGCCTGGGTGTAGGGCAGATCTTGCCTCATGTGGATACTTGTATCGATTTCCCGTTGCACATCTTTCATTTCTTGAAAGACAGACCACCTGACTGGCCAGGAACCTTGAGCATCACAAGTAAGTGTAGGAAAGATACCAGACAAATGTTCAGTGTTTTGTCTCGAAATGCAGAGATGCGGTAGCGCCCGAAGCCGGCGAAGACCCTACAACAAGAGTTTGAAGGAGAATTTCGGCACCCGACAAGTCTAAATAGGCTATTCGCATTGAAAGTACCAGGACAGGGGGGGTTCCAAACCAAAGTCAGAAAGAAACGCCAACGAATCGAGGTTAGGGTTACCAGAAGGACAGTGAATGAACACCAGAATTTCACGCCATACCTAGCACATGGTTGTCCTTGGTCATGGCCCGTTCTCCTTCGAAGACCTTGACGAGTACAGCGGGTTGGTTGTCCTGGTAGGTGGAAAACACTTTGGTCTTCTTGGTGGGGACGACGCTGTTCCGCGGGATGATATTGGTCATCATACCGCCCACTGTTTCGATGCCCTGGTGTTTGTCACCACGAACCCACGACGAACGTGACGTTATTCGAAAAGAGACAGCAGTAGCGATTCAAAGCAGCACCTACAGTACCACGGTACCCTATTGGCGAGCTACCCGAGGAATGGTCAACTTATCGCTAACCCAGAGTATCCTCCATGTCATTGGTACCCACGACTGCTGTGTTGCCCACGAACAAAGAATCCTGGTACACACACCAAGTTAGAAACATCATAGCTTCAACGTTACCCCGAACTCATGTTTCTGCCGCATACGCACCCCGCCGCGTGTCTCGCCAAAGGACTGTGTCACCATCTACCGAGAGCTCTATGTAGTGATGTACCGCAATAAGGAGGCTGGTTTCATCCCGACTGACCTGACTGAGGGCGATCACGTCAAGCACCACTACCTCGCCTTCCAGGCTACCTCCTCCGATAATGTCTCCCTGAATCGCCGCGCCGTAGGCGACTGCTTCGTCGGGATTGATGCCCCGCGATGGCTCCTTGCCGTTGAACAGGTCCTTCAGAAGCTCTTGGACCTGTAGCGAGTAGAATCGTCCACGGGTATGTTCAGGAACGGGTATAAGGGGAGTGTCTTGTTTGTCATTACGTAAATCCAACAAACCTTGAAAGAAAATCATTTCATTCGAAGGAAGACCTCTCGTCGAACAGTTTACAGGTTTTGACACCCTTACGAAAAAATGCAATCTATGGGTAGGTTATTCGGCACGTTTATCGTGAATAACGCGCGTGTTGAGACTGGACAACAAGCGCAATAACCGAAGAGTACGCGTGATACCGGCACCACCAGTGACGATCGATAGTTACTTCTGTAGAAGCTAAATACTTCAGCTTGAGAACACAGGTATCTGCGGGCGCCATTTGTAGTTAGTTGTGGCTACGTGCTGTCACCTCACCTTTGGTATGCGTGTGGAGCCACCAACGAGCACGACCTCGTGCACCTCGGACATGTCCAGGTCGGCGTCCTTCAATGCTCTCTGCACCGGAGCTAGGGTCCTCTTGAACAGGTCGATGTTGAGCTATGTAAGACAAACGAATTCAGTTTGGGATGTGTGGCAGCCACGGTGCAGTTAGTTCTTAGCGCCATGTTGGCTTGATTTCGAAGTTTGTTGGCATTTCACGTCTGTCTTCAGTACGCTTCTCCACCCCCTAGTTGTGCGTTATAGCCTGAGATCACCGCTTCACATGAAGCCATATTCTCATAGGTTCAAGACGATTACTCGTGCTGCTAATCTGTGCATGCCGCGATTTTCCGGGAGCAATAATCACCGCTGCACAATACGCCTGTAGCTAGAGTTTCGCGGCGTTGCGGTCGAGCCCACCCTCCTTCACGAACTAGGGAGCAATAACTGCTACCGGAAAATACGGAGAATACGGAGAATACGGAAAATACGGAAAATACGGAAATACCTCACCTCCTCAAAGCGAGCCCGAGTGAGCGTCTCCGAAAAGTCGTGACCATCCACGAGAGACTCGATCTCAACGCGGGCCTGGTGCTGACTGGACAACACGCGCTTCACGCGCTCCACCTTTGGGCGAGGCAAGAAAGGTGGCACATAACTGAAAGCGTTAGTCGTGTGCACGCCGAAAGAAGCTCTGGACGCGTTTATATGCGCTTTATTGGGTACCAATAGCCGACTGTCTTCTCAAGAGTCCATTCGGGGCAGGCCACCATTGGCCACAACGTTGTTGGCATTTTTATCCTGTCGGGGTCGGGTTATGCAACGAGAGAGAGGCTGATCGAACCCGACCGTTACAAATATGGTAATCGGCACGGACCTCGCGTCGGAGTTTCTGGGTGGCCTTGACGTCTCCGGTGATGTCGGTGCCTGTTTTCCTGTTGAACAACTTGATGAAGTACTGCATCACGCGCTGATCAAAGTCCTCACCGCCGAGATGAGTGTCGCCGTTCGTCGCTAGCACCTGTTGCGCCAGTAGAAAGCGGTTCACACCATAGAGAAACGAGAGTTGTGGGGAGGCGGGGGGGGGGGGGGGGGGGGGGGTAATCTCGCGTCACCATGGGGTGTGGATGGTATATATATATTCTTTTGCGTACCACCTGGTATACAGCAGTAGTCTCAATGCACCCACCAGCGCTCGGTACCGCCGCAGCTGCGACGAGAACCGGGTCTCCGGCACCGGTTCGTCCTGCCCGTACACCAAGCCACCGAGGTCATCGCCGTGCTCTAGGTCGCGGCCGCTATCACCACCACCGCCGCAGCCGCCGCAGCCGCCGAAGCCCGTGGAGGAGGAGCGCGGGGATGGTGATGGTCCCGTATCCCTTGAAAAGGAGACTGCTCTCACCATGGACCGCATGACGGTCAGCTTGTTCGCCTGGATGATGATAATGATCATGCGGATAGAGTGTTTTTTGGTACGCACACGCCGAGAGAGGGAGACACAGACAGAGAGACAGTCAGTCAGACAGACAGACAGACAGACAGAGCGCGGGGGGGGGAGGTTACGAAAATTGCGCAATAAGCGGTAGAGGACCTCGGTGACCGGAACCCCTGCTGCCCATGCGCATGCGCTCTAATTCCATTGTAGCAGCGACTGAGGTGAAGGTCTGCGGCGATGCGGATCTCACAGCAAAGTGGCCGGCCTGCCGATCGGTCGAGGAGTAAAAACAGAAAAGAAGAGAAAAACGTACAACATGCATGCAGGTACCACGCCCAGCACTCGTTCTTTCTCTCGCCAAGACCATGCGAGTAATGTCATCGGTCACGGCCGCTTTCATGAGGCCGGTCGGTACCAAGAATGCAATCGGTCAGCGCTGCTGCTGCTGCACAATACGACACAAAAAAGACACATACCACACACACAAGCATTTTCAACCGCACTGAGACTGACGCCTTTTTCATTGGTCAGCCGGTAATGCTAACCAAAAAAAAAAAAAAACGCAACACCTACATACCTTGGTGCGCGCGATCAGCTCCAGGACCTCGTCCCGCATGCGCTCCATGGCCAACACCGACAGCCGCGGCACGACGTCCTCCCCGAGGGCCGACGACAGCACAAACTCGCCGCAATTCTCCGCGTGCGGCGAGTTAAGAAGGCCCCCCAATGGCGAGATAGCCACGCACCGTACAGAGGGGTACTCCCAGCGAAGCATGTACGCCAGCAGGGCCCCCGTGCTTCCCCCCAGGGAGTGCCCGGTCACCCGGAGGGAGTAGTCTCGGAAGCGGGGGGGGGTGCGACGGCCACCACCCGGCGCGACGCTTGCTACTCTCTGCGGGGCCCCTTCCTCTCCTGCGGGGCCCCCGCCAAGGAGAAGGGCACGGATGTGGCCTTGGTCCTCTAGGTCCTTCCGCACCCACTCCGCTCGAGCGAGAACACCCTTTTATTAATACCAAGGGTAGGAGAGGACGGGGCGGGGGGGCGGGGGGTTGGTGCGTCGTCGAGCGAGTGGGGCACATAAAAAAAGAGATGCAACCAAGAAGGTAGGTGCGGGAGTGAGGTGGTCGGCGCGTTGTCGAGCGATTGGGGTAAACAACAAGAGATGCAACACATGAAGGTGGTACGGGAGTGAAGGTCGTCTGTGCCACTTGGCAGCAACGGCAGCGGTGGCGGTAGCGGCCGCCTTAACATGAGTGCGTCGCTGAGGAGGTGCCGTGTGCTGTACTTGCACGCAAGCATTATTTTCATCCCGCTACATCAAAGGCTGGGGTCTTTTCATTGTTCACCCGTTAGCGCGGTCAATGAACACACACGAAGTACACACACATACAGCTCATCCATGGCGCCACATCCCGGGGTCCCAGATCATGGCCTTTCGAAGCATGTTCTGTTTTCGGCAGCACTGATGTGTTTTCATTGGTCAGCCGGTTCAACGCGAACAACAACAACAAACGCCACACACACACCCTTTTGTGTGTTTTCAACCGCACCGACACTAACTTACGCTTCATTGGTCAGCCGGTTAGCGCGGTCGATGCAAAAAAAAAAAAAAACACACACACACCTCGTGCGCGTACATGCCGCGGCCGTCGAACCCCCACCTCTTGCCGGACTCCTCCATGCACGCCGGCTCCGCCTGCAGGTCGCACAGGCAGTCGTCCAGCGACATGGTTCCCCGGATCGACACAACCACGCACCGCCAGGCGTGGTCCACCAGAACGCAGTACGGGGTTTCCACCACGCCGGAGGCGAAGTGCGCGTCCACGACCTCGCACCCGCGGTGGAGCCCGGCCACCCTCAACAGCGCCGCCTCGTGGGTACCCAGCCAGTTGTCCCCCCTCACCGATACCCCGGGGCCCCCTACGCCACCGGGGCCCCCACCGACGTTGCCGCCGCCGCCGCCGCTGTCTTTTTCGGTTTTGTTCCGCATGGTGCTACGCCCGCCTCTACCTTTCGAGTCGATCCCCGCGGCAGCGGTGGCGCCGTTGCTGCCGCCTGCGGCGGAGGTGGTGGTGGTGGAGGTGGTGTTTCCCCAGTCCTTCTTGCTGCTGCGCGTCCTGTGGAAGGCCCGGGAGCGCCCGGTGCAGCTGTAGCACAGGAGGTCGCACGCCCCGCAGCAGGGGCGCTCGAACACGTACAGGTACCTGTCCATGTACGTACGTACGTGATATCTCAGTCGTCGTCATCGTCGTTTTCTGTCGTTGAACACAAACTGCTGAATGCTATTGCTTTGTCCTATTGCCTCGTTTCGTGGTTACTTTGTCTTGGGGAGGAAGAGACGCAGCGGCAGCAGCAGCAGCAGCAGCAGTATTTAGTAGCAGCAGCCGTTCTGGGCGAGAAGAAAAAGAGAATATCTCTCGTCATCAAGGACGACGAGGGGGGGGGCAAGCGCGCAGGTAACAGAAGGTAGACCAGCTGCCGTTTTACTCGTCAATCTCAGTCTCAAGGAGAGACCGGGTTTCTGTTGCCTGCCAAGTAGTGAGAGCGGTGCCACACACGAGTTTTGGCAGGCAGCGGTACGACGCCAGACAGGCGGCGTCGTCAATCATATTTTTGTCCCTCCCCCGCGTACGGTGCTCCCCCAGCCACATCCTCCAAACTGGTTTGGTTATTGATTGATGTCGGTTTCGA